AAATTGGCTTTTCATTGAAGCATCTATTATTTTAAATTTGAAGCTTCCGTTATCCTTCAGAAGTTAACGAAGTGGTAACACAACACAACATATAAGAATATAAGAATAAAATCTAACCGTTTATTTTGTAGCAGAAAATAGAAAATTATAGGCACTACTTAGGTTAATTATAATTTCATTACTTAAATAATTATGGCAGATTGTATTCCATTCTATTTCATCCTTTTACGTATTTTATTCTCCTTTTTTGTGTACAGCGACTTCCCCATCCAATATTCTTCAATGAATTTCACATTTTTTGTTTTTAGACTTTGCACTAAATAAAGAACTAGGTTGACCCCATAAGCATTCAATTCGTGGAAACGACAATCATAGTAAAAAACAAAGGCGTGAGAATAGATTTTAGGATGAGATGAAATGTGATTTAGATACATTGCATGATTATACCAATCTTCAAGTGAGAAGATAATAAAAAACTATTTTAAAATATCCATTGCATCACATATGTAAGATATTTATTTTCTAAAACACCCATTCCAAAAAATAAAATATATATTCTAAAATAGATATTTGAAAAGATATTTTTAAAAGGGAAATATCTTTTGAAATATTAATTGCATAGGTAAACTTTATCTTTCATAACTTCAAATTTGGAATGCATTTATAATGTTATCATCTTCTCCACCTCTCCTCTATCTTCTTCTCCAATACTCTTTTTACTAGTTATTTTGGTTGGTAGAGTCGATAACTATACATTTACACTTTAAGTCACTTCACTTCGCTTAGCTTATCTTTCTCTCCTAAGATCTTATCGATTTTTTTTTATTAAGGTCCGAATCTGAGCGGGTGGATATTTATCAAAGATACTCCAACGCTCAAGTCATTTTTCAGTTACATCAATTGGTTATCATAGTTAAGTCTTAAATGTCCAATAAATGCAATCACATACCTTCTTACTTTACCTTTATATTTATAGGTTCTGAAATTGACTTTTGTTTAGGATTGGTCCAATTACGGCTCTATGTCTTATAAACATGTTTTACCTTACTAATAATCTTGAGGTATTCTTGACATACGCAATATCGATCGGTTACTAATATTGTTAGTGACCGATTAGCCTACATTGTTTTGGAGAGTTGACCAACTGCTTGTTTTGGGATTGTGCTGACCGGTCGGTGCGTACGGTACACCAGCCATTTTATTCTCAAGTGTCTGACAAATGAGGATGATGAAAATGATGATGTTTATGGGTGGTAATGGAGGTGTTAAGAATGGTGGTGATAGAGAGGTTGAAGAAGGGAGGAGATAAAGATGTTATAAGGTGGAGATGGAAAGGTTGTGTGTGATAAAAAAGAAACAAACAAACATAGATGGTAAGTACTTTCGAGGATGAGGTGTGGTGATTTGAGTTATAAAAATTATAACTAAAAAGAATTATAAAACTAAAAATTAAGTATTATATATATATATATATATATATATATATATATATATATATATAATTTTAGTAATTTAAATGGATAGGGAAATAATGGTGGAGATGGGTATTAGGAAAGAGGATATGTACATCTCCATCTTCATAACGTATTGAAAACACCTAATATTATTCATAACCAGTCAATGTAGATATTCTCTATCAAAACAGGGAAGAATTTAAACCATATCCACAAAGACGAGTTTATTGGTTTGTATAGACCTAAATATAAAAATTAAATTAATAATTAAACTTAATTAATTAGTAATATTCTCACTACAATATAAGTATCATCATTAATTGATCTTTTTAATTAATCAATGTCATCGGGGTCTAACATGTTCACCACTCCTTGGTTCAATAATCCATCCCGTAGCATTTTGAGGTGTCCAGATACAAAAGTATAACAACTTAAATAGGGTGAGGAGGCCCAATAAAATATTAGTTACATCATGAATGCTGTTGAAAGAGCAATGTAGCCGAAAAAGAAATATGAAGAATTGGACAAGTTAAGGTGGTGGAAACCTCTTTTCTTTCAATAATGATGCCAACCCTTTTCAGGCAAAAATCTTGTCTTGTGAAAATTGCTTCACATCTCACCTCACTTGTCTTTCTGCTATTCTTAAGATAACTTGATAAATTCTTTTAGTAAGAACACCTTTTCTATCTTAAATTTAAGATATTATTTCCTTAAAAAAAATTACTCTATCAACCTACAAAATATACTCCAAATATGCCTATTAAATTATTTTTATAAAAATCAATGAATTTCATCAATATAGCAATTTAAGATTTTAGGGAAATTTTGTAGTATCGGTTATATTTTATTTGAAATCGACTTTCTCTTAATCTTGATAATGGTATGCATTATTCATCATGAAATACAAAAGTTTGGAACATTTTATCTCGAATTATTTTGGTGCTTCAACATTATAAGAAACTGTTTGAAAAGCTTTTATAATATGATTAGACTAAATTATCCATGACTAAAAATAATTTTTTCTTTCCTTCCCCACATGTGTGATCTGTGCATGGTGTGTTCTTTCCTTTCTATGAGGAAAGGAGAAAAAAAAATGATTGATGCATGCCACATAAAGTAGTGACAAAGTAAAAATAGAATAAAAATAAATAGATAAAGGAGCTTGATTTAAAAAACCGAAAAACAGATTGCTCTATCTGTCGATCACTTTTATTAAAATTTGCCTTTCTTAGCAAACTAATACCGTTGATAGGGTCCCCACACATCCAACCTGAACGAAAGAAAAAAAGTGTATGGGTGCAACAAGAATCTCAAGAAACTACATTGGAATCACGGTTCGTTCAAGTGGATTTTCACATGTTGAAGTAGTTCACAATCACCATAAAGAGATCACGAGAAATTCGCATGCCTCAGGCACCGACATTGGCGTAATCCGGGAACCAAAAAAATTAAAATTTTGCAGGCTCGGCGCACGAAAGATAAATAAAACACAATTGCATCAAAATTTATTCACTAGAATAAAAATTTGCTTTCAACATTTTCCGGAAACGGATGGATTTTGGTGGTACAACTAAAAAGATCACAACACAATTGATAAAGCAATTAACCAAATGAAACAAATGCATAAACAAATATGAAGAAACAAGGAAGCTCCCTCCCAAATTACAAATTCAACCCTATACAAGATATCCTATGTTACAGAATGTGCATGTGCATTCAATATATATATATATATATATATATATATATTTGAGTAAAAATATGGTTAAATTCTAAACCCCAAACCAGGCCACCTCTTTGTTCCCTCCTTCTTTGTCCTCTTTGAACCAGGATCAATAAGGTTTTCCAGAGATTTTGCTTTTCTGTCCCGTGTTTTGCCTGCTTCTTTCAGAAGCTCAGCCAGACGACGCTTCTCATCTTCAAAATCAGGATTTGCTATTCCAAGCTTTTCCTCCCTCAACTTAAGCACGTATTCTAAGATTTCAATCGCATCTCCCACTCTGAAGCATGCAATGAAAATACAATCTTACTTCAAACATACACAAGTGCTACGGTCATGTACAACATAAATAGGCCTTTGATTATTTTATATCATTCCATCCGAACAAGAAATTGCAGGCTATCAGACATATATACAACTAGGAATCATACAAAGATTTTTCACACCAATGGGCAACTCATGCTGGGCTGAAGCCAGAAAATATATATTCGGGTAGACAAGCTATATGGTCAATGGATGTCCAAAAGAATGAAGAAATAACACTGCTAATGTTCCGGTGTAGCTAAACATATTCCTCCTTGCTTTTCAAAAAATTTTAAAAAGCGTTTAGATCCATCCCCGTAGCAAAGGTTAGGGAGTGGCAAAGCTTGGTTGAAAATTAGCCAAAAGCTTGACATAGAATTTTGGGAAGCCAAAATATAGTGTAATTTAGAGAGAAAAGTTTGGGGGAGCCATTGCCCCCCTTGACCCCTTAAATGATCCATGGGTGGAGGATTATAGTAAAGTTGAATTAAATACAGCTTAGCCAAAACAGCTTCAATCAAGCAGCCCAACATATAACCACGGTGATAACTATACTAAGATTCCAGTTGGTCACTGTCAATCTTTAAGTAGTATCTTTTATTTTATAGCTGCTTCATAAGGGAAAAAATACGATGCATGCACTCAGGATACAAAGCAAAATATTTACTAAATGAGTCAACAGGTAATCAAGGGCATGAGAAAAGAATTTTACCTTCCCATAGCATCATATGTAGCTGCAAGGTTGCTGTACACTCCAAGAGTATCTTGATGACACGGGCCACACTCCTGTTCAAGAATTCCCCTAGCTTCTTCAAACAATTCAGCAGCCTCATCTATCTTGAACAGTTGAACACACGCCAACCCCATCTGGTTCAGAACAACTCCAAAGAAGGCACTCTTCCGCTCCCCACTGGCCCTGAGTTTAGCAACAGCACTCTCAAATGAGTTCCTTGAGTCTTCATACCTGCCAATCATGTAATACATCACTCCCATCCGTGCCTCAATCCCTGCAATAGTGCTCTGCTGCCCTGGCTTATCCTCCAACAACTTCATGGCCCGGCTTAAGAGCTTCAGCGCCTCCTCTGGCTCATCCACAGATTCAAAAACCGCTGAAACCTCTGTCAAGCCACCAGAAATCTCCTCAGCAGTGGTACCCGGCACCGGCTTTGAGTAAATCCTGAGTGCATTCTCACAGTACGATTTAGACTCACGAAGCTTCCCAGTCCGGTGGTACAAATCAGCCAGCCGTACAAAAACAGAAGCAACGGAAGGGTGGTTCTCACCCTTAGCAGACTTAAACACAGTAAGTGCCTTCTGATACGAGAAAATCGCCTCATCAAAACGACAAAGTGACATGTAAATGTTCCCAATGCTAACATCAATCGACGCAACCTCATTATCCTGACCATTTGCAATCATAGCCATGCTAGCAAGCACAAGATGCTCCAATGCCGCTTCATAATCTCCCTTCGCCTCGCAAATCAGTGCCATAAGCCTCCTATCGGCAGCTTCCTCAAGTGAAGCCGGTTCACTATGCACGCGATGAATCTCCAAAGTCTTCTTACACAGCTCCTCCGCTTTGTCAAACTGCATCGCTTGCACATTCGCCTCCGCCAAGTATCTACCACGCACAACACCAACTCAAAAAAGAGTGGTTCTATTCATACAACAATTTAAGCACACCACTTTTTTTCTCTCTACCTCCCTCCGTAACCTTATTAATTACACACATACTTTTCTCTCTTTTATGTTCAAAAACACAAATAAAACTCCTCATTAAAAAACACAATCAAGCAACTACAATTAAGGAAAAACCTATACGTATTTTATAGATGTTCTTATTTTTATCCTCAATTAGAATTATAATTTGGCCAATTTTCCATTATATTTCCCTATCATGATTAGAGTTTCTCCTCATTAATTCTATAGACAGTTAACGAAATATTTTATTATTAAGAAAAAAAAAAAGAGGCGAATCTCCAATAATTCTGATTGCTGCATCTAGGTTTTGCATCAAACAACGATAGATCGATACCGTACCGGCAAGTTTCACCGACGCGAGGATCGGTTTCGCCCAGGGCTTGGATCTGGATCTGGAGGCCCTGGTCGTAGCAGGAGATGGATCGGTCGACCTGGCCGAGCATGGAGTAGGTGTCGCCAAGCTGCATGTAGCCGGAGAAGGCGGCAAGGGCGTGATCAGCTCCGCGCGAGACGTCAGGGACCTGTATGGCACGTTCGAGGACGGGAACGGCTTCCTCGAAGCGCGCGAGGCTGCAGTAGATAGCAGCGAGGACGTGGAGGCTCATGGCGAGGTCGAGGCTGGGCTCGCCCTCGACGGCGCAACGCTCGAAGGACTTGGAGGCCCGCACAGCGAAGTCAAGAGCCTTGGCGGGCCCATCGCCGGAGGCGATGGTGTCGCGCGCCAGTTTAAGTAGGAACGGGCCGAGATCGGGGTTGTCGAGAGAGGCATCGGAGAGAACCGGGTTGGGAGGAGTTTCGGGAGTTTTCTTCTTGGAGGAGCGAGAAGGCGATGGCGAGGGTGGTTTTTTGGGAAGTGGGGAAGGCGTTTTGTTGTTGACGTTGTTCGTTTCGGATCTCTGCGTCGGAGTGTTGGGTACGGATATTCGGAGCGGTTGAGCTTCGGGTGGGGTTTTTACGGAAACGAGACCCGGCATGGTGGTCGAATTACGATTCAACGAGAGAGAGAGAGAATGAGAGAGAATTATTGAGTGTTTGGGTGTTGCGAGGAGAAATTTGTATTGATTGGGAGAAAGATAAGAACTGAGCACCACTCTCAACTACAATTGGGAGAAGAAGGTTTCTTTTGGGGTGTGCAGATCAGATGTCTCTTCTATCTTCTCTTCTTTTTTTCAAAGTTTCTGTGAGTGTGTATGAGCTGTGATAGAGGTTTCATTCTTTTCACTTTCATTTCTTTCTTCTTCTTCTTCTCCGTCTTTCTCTCGGGGTCACTACGGTCATTCAACATCTCATCTCCGTTAGATTCACCCAACGCCCGTCATCTCACATTATTAATTATTAATTAATATTAATATTAATCACAGTAATCAATTTCTCGCCACCACACCACATTTTATATTATGTTTCCTCATACACCAACTTCTTATTAAACTAATCTTCTTTTATGATGTAAAACAAATTACCAAGTTAAGCACGGTTACAATTTTATGTTTTGTTTTACATTTTTAAATTAAATTATTTTTTAATTAAGAAAAATAGAAAAATGTTATGTTCATTATATTCGAATTTACTCTGAAGATTCTTTTAATATTTGGTCCCACGTAAACATTATTTTTCTGCCTCCATTTATTAGTCAAACGGAAATTTTTTTCATTTGTTTCTTTTCATTTTTTAAATATGGTCTGAGAAAATAGTATTGGAAGAAGTGCAATGACTGTATACACATTCCAATTGTCTCAATTGTGATTGTTTATTTGGTCGTAAAAGACAACTGTGAGGAAACAAATCAGGCAAAATAAATAAAAGTGGGAATATATTCCATAAAATTGGACATGAAATTTTTAATTTTTTTAGCTATTTTTAGTATTAAATAATTTGATTTACCATAAGACATAAAAAATAATTTAATAAAAGTTTGGTGTTTTGGTTGAATTAATTATTGAAGTCTTACGAAATAAATATAGCCAGCCCATTTATTTCTCTTTATATTTTTATCTTTTTTTTTCCTAAGCTTTCTTTATCTTTTATCAATTATCAAAGAAAGTTATGCTGTTCGGAAAGGATATGTAGAGTAATATAATTTACAAATAACTTGATTATTAAGTATGTAATTTATCAGAAAAAAAAATACAGATATTACTATATATTTTTTTATGTAATTATTATTTACGTATATAACTAATAGATATGTCATAAAACTTTTTATTCAACATTTATTTTTGTCCAACATTTATTTTTGTCATGTAACATCCCAACATAAAACCATATCTAGAATATTCAAATTAATAATATTATAATTCAGTTCTAAGAAGCAAAGGTATGGAT